ATGTAAAATAAGCATGTTAATACCACATTAAAAATACCACATGCTAATATGATTTAACACCAATAAAACCTACATCCTATTATATATACCTAATATACATATGTATTTAACACAAATAGAATCTCTTCTATTTATTATAGTCTCTTTTTTCTGAAAATGTATGTATTATTAATGTAAACATACTTGTGATCTTTTTAAAAAATATGTTTTTATTGATTTCAGAGAGGGAGGGAGAGGCAGAGAGAGGGAGAGAAAGAAACATAAATGAGAAAGAACCACTAATCGGTTGCCTCCTGAATGCCCCACACTGGGGATTGAACCCACAACCCAGGCATGTGCCCTGACTGGGAATCGAGCTGTGACCTCCTAGTTCATAGGTCGACGCTCAACTACTGAGCCATGCTGGTGCGGGCTCGTACTTGTGGTCTTTGAAAGAATGTTAAAACTACCCACATAAAAGCTAAGATGGAATCAACATTCTTGCTGAACTGGGGTATGGAAATCCAAATGGTATTTGGAAAAAAAGAGATTGTTTTAAGAATAAAACTATTATAGAGAATGTTACTGGTGGGCCAAATAGAGGATGTACCTACCATCATGTCACAGACTATAACCACCTCCATCATATATACAGAAATGGTTAGATGAACTCAGTGGAATGCTGGAGTCTGTTTCTACCAGCTTGCCACAGACAATTATGCGCATCCCTTCCCAATTAGGAACTTCAGGTTGGCACCTTGAACTGGCCACGGTGGGACCACATATTTACGAGTCAGAAACCAGCAGAAGCTAAATATCAGAGATCCCCACCCTCCCCTTCAGAGCCAGGTGCTAAACATACACTGGCACGCGGCTATATAACCCCTCCCTCTAAACTTATCCTTCACTTCTGCTAGTTTCTGTCATAGGCCGGGTCGGGGCATTCCTAGCACTCTGAGTAGCATGATTCTTAGTTGAGCAAGTCTGTCCTTAACATCACAGGATATTTAGCATGCCTGGCTCCATCCATTAAATACCGTTACTGCTCCCCTGTCAGACAACCAATGAATACCTCCAACCCCACACATTCCAAACATTCTCAGGAGGGTGATAGCATCAGCAGTAGAGAACCAATATTCTGTAATGATAGAAATGCAACCTAAAGACATTTCCCAGACTCTCAGGAAGCTGAGTATGGTTATATGACTGTTGTGCCCAAGAGGATGTGAGTGGAAATGATGGGAATATCCCTGTCCTACTGGCTGGAATGTAGCCATAGGAGGGAGCTAAACCTGAGTCCATAACATAGAAGCTGCATGTTGGGAACGGCAGAGCTAAGACAGAAAAGGCCCGAATCCCTCAAATCACAAAATTATATCAGCTTTGATTTACTTACATTTAGAATGTTTTATGAGAGTTTAAGCCTGTTAGTTTTAGCTATTACAGCAGCCAGATACCTAGCTAATACATGTTCCATATACCTTATTCACACTGTAAGATGTCCCCTCTTTTTTGAGTGTTATAAGCTAACAAGACAGAAAAGGCCTGAGTTGCCCAAATCATCTACACTAATAAAAGAGAAAAATGGTAATTGGCGTACGACGCTACCCTTTTCATTGGCTAATCAGGGCTATATGCAAATTAACCGCCAACTAAGATTGGCAGTTAACTGCCAACTAAGATTGGCAGTTAACTGCCAACAAGATGGCGGCTAATTTGCATATGTAGGCACAATGCAGGGAGGCAAAGGGAAAGCAGGAAGAAGCCCCCTGCCACTGACAGTGATCGGAAACCCAGGGGGGAGCTAAGAGGTGGGGGGCAGGGCCTTTGATCGGAGAATCAGGTGCCTTTGCCGCCCTGGCCAGTGATAGCAGGAAGTAGGGGTGGAGCCAGCGATGGGAGCTGGGCACGGTCGGTCGAAGCTGGCAGTCCCAGGAGCTAGGGGTCCCTTGCCTGGGCCTAAAGCGGAGCCCACGATCGCGATCGCGGGGCCGCTGCCGCTGCGGGTCCCCGCTGCCCGGGCCGGACGACTCGGCCAGAGGCGTCCTTGCAGGGGCAGGGGCGGAGCCCACGATCGCGGCGCCCCCCGCTGCCACTTCGGGTCCCTGCTGCCCGGGCTGGACGCCCAGGCCAGAGGTGTTAGGCCTGGGCAGGGGCGGAGCCTGCAACCGCGGGGAGCTGGGGGTCCCCTGACCAGGCCTAATGCTTCGGCCAGAGGTGTTAGGCCTGTGCAGGGGCAGAGCGGGAGATCGCGGGGAGCGGGGAGTCCCCTGCCCAGGCCTCGGCCAGAGGCGTTAGGCCTGGGCAGGGGTGGAGCCTGCAACCGCGGGGAGCTGGGGGTCCCCTGCGCAGGCCTGACACCTCTGCTGGAGGCCTCAGGCCTGGTCAAGGGGCCGATCGGGTGATTGGTGATTGGAGGGTGATGAGGGTCAACTCCTCTGGCCGAGGCATCAGGCCTGGGCTGGGGGGCGGAGCCGGGGATTGGGGGGATATGATGATCCCCTTGCCCAGGCCTGAAGCCTGGGTCAGAGGCGTCAGGCCTGGGCGGGGGGCGGAGCCGGGGATTGGGGGGATATGATGGTCCCCTTGCCCAGGCCTGAAGCCTGGGTCAGAGGCGCCAGGCTTGGGGGGGGGGGTGGAGCAAGCGATCAGGGGGAGATGGGGGTCCCCTGCCCAGGCATGATTCCTGGGCCAGAGGCCTCAGGCCTGGGCGGGGGTCAGAGCCAGTGATCGGGGGGAGATGGGGGTCCCCTGTCCAAGCCTGACACCTCTGGCGGAGGCGTCAGGCCTGGGCAAGGGGCCGATCAGGCGATCGGAGGGTGATGGGGGTCAATGCCTCTGGCCGCGGCATCAGGCCTGGGCAAGGGGCAGAGCCAGCAATCGGAGGGGTCTGGGGGTACCCTGCCCAGGCCTGACGCCTGGGCCAGAGGCATCAGGCCTGGGCTGGGGGCAGAACCAGTGATGGGGGGAAATGAGGGTCCCCTGCCCAGGCCTGACACCTCTGTCAGAGGCGTCAGGCCTGGGCAAGGGGCCGATCCTGCGATTGGAGGGTGATGAGGGTCAACGCCTGAGGGCTCCCAGTATGTGAGAGGGGGCAGGCTGGGCTGAGGGACACTCCCCCCCCCCACCCAATGCACGAATTTCGTGCACTGGGCCCCTAGTAGAATTATATCAGCGCTGAGCTACTTACATTTGGAATGTTTTATAAGAGTTTAAGCCTGCTATTTTTGGTTATTACAGCAGCCAGATATCTAGCTAATATGTTCCACACACCATATTCACATTGTAAGATGGACCCCGCTACCCCTATATGAGTGCTTTAAGTTGTTACATTCTAAAAATATCCAGAGCAAGTCTAGTCCAGGACACATGACAGTATTTTCTGTTCTATACACAGTTCTTTTAAAAACACCAAAGATATCAAATTACCTTTGCTTTTTCATTTATCAATTTTGGACTTTTCCCTTATCTGCACATTCATACCTATCCCATTTCTTATATCCACTACAGAGTAACCCATTTTTTTTTAACATATTGACTTAAGGTTCCCTACTAACTTTTTCATACAATGCTTCAACAGCTTTACTCATATTGTTATGTACCTAATTAAATACGCATCTGTGAGGGTACGAAAAATTACACAGATATAAAATTGTCGGGTCAAAAATATGTGCATTAAAATTGACCTCCAGTGAGTTTGTATTAATTTATGTTCTCATAACTGGCATGTTTTCCCACTTTCGAAACAACACCAGATGCTACTGTAATTTTAGACTTTGCCATCTGCTAGGTGAAAAGTAAAATATTTGTTCTAATTTCTATTTATTTTTTTTTAAAATCATCACTGGAGGACTGACTAAAAATCAGCTTCCCATTGATTTTTAGAGAGAATGGAAGAGAAAGGGAAAAAGAGAAATATCGATGTGAGAGAAACACATCGATTGGTTGCCTCCTGCCGGGCCGGGGAGGAGCCTGCAACCGAGATATGTGCCCTTGATCAGAATTGAACCTGGGACCCTTCACCCTATCCACTAAGCCAGTGGTCGGCAAACTGCGGCTCGAGAGCCACATGCGGTTCTTTGGCCCCTTGAGTGTGGCTCTTCCACAAAATACCAGTGCGGGCGCGCACATACAGTGCAATTGAAACTTCGTGGCCTGTGCACAGAAATCGGTATTTTGTGGAAGAGCCACACTCAAGGGGCCAAAGAGCCGCATGTGGCTCTCGAGCCGCAGTTTGCCAACCACTGCACTAAGTCAAACCGCCTAGAGCTAGGTTCTAGTTCTTTAATTATGAGAGACTTAGAAGAGCATTTTCATGTTTGTTAAAAGGCTATTTCTATTTCCTTTGTCTGAGAACCATATCCATTTCCTATTTACATTTTTTGACTTGGTTGCTTTTTGTTTTACTAATATGTATATATTATTATTTGCAATGTACATATTAAGGAATTTGGTCTTTTGTAAGAGGCATTTAAATTTTTTCATCCAGGTTATTGTTTGGTTTGGTTTATAGGCTGCCTATGCAGACATTTTACTTTTTCAAATATGTATTTTTATTGACTTCAGAGAGGAAGTGAGAGGGAGAGAGAGACAGAAACATCAATGTTGAGAGAGAATCATCGATCGGCTGCCTCCTACACACCCCCACTGGAGATTGAGCCCCCACAACCCGGCATGCGCCCCTGACCGGAATTGAACCGGGGACCCCAGTCCACAGGTCCCTGCTTCATCCACTGAGCCAAACCAGCTAAGGCTGCAGACATTTTAAATGTTGGTGTGGTCAAATTGCTCCTTTGTACTAAGCCTTTCCCAGTTCAATATTATAGAAGATACCTGTATTTTCTTGTATTACTTTCATGGCATCACTTAAAAAACACAATTGAAACAACAAACCAAAAAAATCACTAATTCTTTGACCCACTGAAATTTACTCTAATGAAACTAATTTTGGAATACAGCTATAACCTCATCACCCACCAAGTTGCTAGTCCCAACACAATTCCACAAAACATTCCCACTGATAAGCTTTGTGACCATTATATGTGCTAAATTCAGCTTTTCCTTCCAAGCCAGGATGAAAAAGCCTACCAGGATTACCTAGATGCTTGCATCCTCATTAACTCTCCCTCCGAACAAATCAGCGGGTAATTCAGCAGCACTGATTCCTGATTATTTGGGCAACCTCCTCTCCCCTCCTCTCTTGAGACAGGGATGCAACTTGTACCAGACCACCCCCCTAGAGTCCCAATTTGCCCATGATGGTTAAGAAGCAACAACGGTGGTTGAAAACACATTTCCTTTATTTAAACAACCTCTTGTCCACTAATGTTTATAAGTACATTAAAGGAATACATTACAATTTTACTTTCTCTAGAGCAGGTTTTCTTACTATTGGCATTTTGGGGCAGATAATTCCTTATGCATTGCAGGATGTTTCGCTTCTACTCCCCAGATGCCAGTAGCATCCTCCCTGTTTTCTAGCTATGGTATTTATACAGGCAAGTGTTTTTTTTCTTTATTTAGAACAGGTATTTCACTTTTGCTTTTTCTATTATATAAGGTGTACATATCAAATGTTATAAAAGTCATTATAAAAACAATACAACTACAATTGAGCAGCACTTTCTAATCGAAGAAGCAAAGAAATTACACTAAATAACACTATTTGGCAGTATTAGAAATAAAATGACTAAAATGGGTTTAAATTGACTAAAATGGGTTTAAATTGACGAACAGTACTAACCACATCTACTATTCAATACTACATATACATCACTCATGCAGCTAAAAGATAGTTATGCAAAATATGTTAATAGCAAAGAATAAAACCAAAATTAAGATAGCAAACAAAACCTATATAACCTCTTTTTAAACAGGAAAATACTTCATGTATGTATATGACCGTTCATTCTCATAAACAAAATCTACAGTAAGCAGTTATCAACTTCCATAAAAACCACACATAGAATTATTAAACATATTCTTAAAAGTATAAACATGAACATTTGGAAAATACAGAACTTTAAAAATTTGTAAATAGGTGAACTTGAATATGAAAAGTCCCATTTTAAGCACAGTTGCATAAAAAGTCTTTTGATGTGAAGTCTATGAATTATCCTTTTTTGGGATCAAACTTGACAAAACACCATGTTTTCCAAATGATATTACAGAACAATGTAATCTTATACATATTTTAACCTTTTTTTCACTTTTTTAACCTTTAACTTTTACTACTCTATTAAAACATGACATCTTAACAACATAAACATATATTTTTAACTTTTTAAACGAATCTATGAAAACATGACCCTTAGATATATAAGAATCAAAAAAGGATCTTTTCTCCTTTTCACTGGCTATTTGTTCTTAGCATGCGTTAAGATATGAGATTTCAGGTTAGTTGACTGAGCAAACTTCTTATCACAACCCTCGAAGGGGCAGGCATAGGGCCTGTCACCTGTATGGATTCTCACATGTGTACGCAAATTGAAATCCAGGGAAAAGTATTTTCCGCAGCCTTCAAATGTGCACTGAAAGGGCTTCTCTCCAGAATGCACCAGTTGATGCCGTTTTAGTTTTGAGCTCTCAATAAAACCTTTGCCACATTCTGCACATATGTAGCCTTTAGGACCGTGGGTGTGATGATGTTTTCTCATAGAAGCGGAATCCCGGAACATCTTTCCGCAGCCTTTATGAAGGCAAGGTACTGTTCTTGGAATGTCATCTTTGCACTTTTTGGGCTTCGCTTTAATAAATTCTGCCAGCTGTTTGGGATCTGATAAGTCAATGCCAGGTATTCCTCCAGGAGGAAGTTTCTTTCCCGTCAAATACTCTGAATAATCAGGAGCTAAGTCCGGTAAGTTCACCGGACTCTGTCCTTCAATCTCCTGATCGCTTTCACCAGCTTGGGACCACATGGTGACGGCGAACTCACCCTCTAGGGTTTTGACCTGCACCTGCTTCTGCTCCCACTTTCTGTTGCCTTCCTCCGAGCCGCTGCCTCCCGCCGCCCCGGCCGCGCTTTTGGCGGTGCGTTTCTTACCCTTGCCGGCGTTTTCCATACCGTGGCCGGTGGCGCTTTGCTGGCCAATGCGGAGCTTTTTGCCGTGGCTGCCGTGCTTCTTGCTTTGCTTCCCGTTGCTGGTGGTGCTTTTCATACCGCCGTTAGTGGTGCTTTGCTGATCGTGGCTGGCGGCGCTTTGCTGACCGATGCGGAGCTTCTTGGGCTTCTTGAGCGATGATGCCGCGGAGTCTGACAGGGAAGTCGGAGTTTCCTGGAAGTAGGCTTCTTCTTCCACCGGGACAGGCACCGGCTGCTCCTGGAAGTTGCTAGCCTGCTCGTTGTCGGACTCGAAATAGCCCACGACTTCCTCCTGGGTCTGCACCATGATCATTTCCTGGTCGTGGTTCCCTTTGTTCGGGTTAACCAGGAACGGCTGCAGCGCCATCAGAGGTGAACTGTGGTGGCCACCGTGGACCCAACTGCCGCTGATATCCTGGTACTCAACGGTTTCCATCGCTGTGAGCTCTGGGGGAATATTCTCCACAGCGACATTCTCCTCAGAGATATCCGCCAAAGGGATATTCTCCACAGCGACATTCACCTCAGAGATATCCGCCAAAGGGATATTCTCCATAGCGACATTCACCTCAGAGATATCCGCCAAAGGGATATTCTCCACAGCGACATTCGCCTCAGAGATATCCGCCAAAGGGATATTCTCCACAGCGACATTCGCCTCAGAGATAGCCTCCAAAGGGATATTCTCCATCGCGATATTCTCCAAAGGGATATTCTCCCAAGAAATATTCTCCAAAGGAATATTCTCCATAGCGATGTTCTCCAAAGGGATATTGTCCATGGAGATATTCTCCAAAGAGATATTGTCCATGGAGATATTCTCCAAAGGGATACTCTCGACTGCGAGACTCTCCATGTCAATATTCTCCAAAGCAAAATCGTCCACAGCGATATCCTGCATAGCAATAGTCTCTAGGTGTACCTGGTGTAATTCCATTAACTCGACAGCCTCCTCCATGTCTTCTGGGGTGATGTAGATAAAGTTGTTTGAAGCCATGGCTGAGAGCTCTGACGAGGCTTTCGCGGCTAGACCAGGCGGCAGCGCAGGGCGGGGCAGCCGGAAGGTGGCGGAAAAGCTGAGAGAAAGAGCGCGAGGCCCCAGGCCGGGGAGGGCTCGCGCTCCGCTCCGCTCCGCGGAAAAGGCGCGAAGGGCAGAGAGTGGCGCTGACTGGCGGTTTAGGCTTAGACGCGGGGAATTCTGGGCATCCTGGCACCCAGCGCATGCGCTTCCCGATACCCTGGCGCATGCGTGGGGTCACGTTCGTTCATACCAGGTCACGCTAATACCCGTATGCTACCCCTCCACCCTCTTCGCTCCGTCTACCAGCTATCGCGTCTTCAATATTAATTCACTAACCGGCCGCTCCGTCTACCCGCTATCGCGTCTTCAATATTAACTCACTAACCGGCCGCTCCGTCTACCCGCTATGGCGTCTTCAATATTAATTCACTAACCGGCCGCTCCGTCTACCCGCTATCGCGTCTTCAATATTAATTCACTAACCGGCCGCTCCGTCTACCCGCTATCGCGTCTTCAATATTAATCACTAACCGGCCGCTCCGTCTACCCGCTATGGCGTCTTCAATATTAATTCACTAACCGGCCGCTCCGTCTACCCGCTATCGCGTCTTCAATATTAACTCACTAACCGGCCGCTCCGTCTACCCGCTATGGCGTCTTCAATATTAATTCACTAACCGGCCGCTCCGTCTACCCGCTATCGCGTCTTCAATATTAATTCACTAACTGGCCGCTCCGTCTACCCGCTATCGCGTCTTCAATATTAACTCACTAACCGGCCGCTCCGTCTACCCGCTATCGCGTCTTCAATATTAACTCACTAACCGGCAGCTCCGTCTACCCGCTATCGCGTCTTCAATATTAATTCACTAACCGGCCGCTCCGTCTACCCGCTATGGCGTCTTCAATATTAATTCACTAACCGGCCGCTCCGTCTACCCGCTATGGCGTCTTCAATATTAATTCACTAACCGGCAGCTCCGTCTACCCGCTATCGCGTCTTCAATATTAATTCACTAACCGGCCGCTCCGTCTACCCGCTATCGCGTCTTCAATATTAATTCACTAACCGGCCGCTCCGTCTACCCGCTATCGCGTCTTCAATATTAATTCACTAACCGGCAGCTCCGTCTACCCGCTATCGCGTCTTCAATATTAATTCACTAACCGGCAGCTCCGTCTACCCGCTATCGCGTCTTCAATATTAATTCACTAACCGGCCGCTCCGTCTACCCGCTATCGCGTCTTCAATATTAATTCACTAACCGGCCGCTCCGTCTACCCGCTATCGCGTCTTCAATATTAATTCACTAACCGGCCGCTCCCTTTACCCGCTATCGCGTCTTCAATATTAATTCACTAACCGGCAGCTCCGTCTACCCGCTATCGCGTCTTCAATATTAATTCACTAACCGGCCGCTCCGTCTACCCGCTATCGCGTCTTCAATATTAATTCACTAACCGGCAGCTCCGTCTACCCGCTATCGCGTCTTCAATATTAATTCACTAACCGGCCGCTCCCTTTACCCGCTATCGCGTCTTCAATATTAATTCACTAACCGGCCGCTCTGTCTACCGGCTATTGCTTCTTCAATATTAATTCACGAAGCAGATTCTTTACTGAATTTTTCTATATTTCATTTCCATTTATTTTATCCATCTCCCTCCTCGGGTGTATAACAGTATTGGTGGTGGGGGGGGGGCTTTTAAATATTCATACTCTTTTCCCTCTTATTTAATTGCACTGATTCACACTTATAGATCATCTAATAGTATCAGTGATATTTGACAGCGGAATTGCTTGTCTTGTCCTTTAAATAGGAATGCTTCTAAGTCAGTGTTTTTCAACCTTGGCTGCACATTAAAATCACCTGGGAATCTTTTTAAAATCCTGATTTCTGGGCCTCATGCTCCGGAAATTCTGTTTCTTTGTTACTAATGTTGTGGCCCCACCCCATAACAAAGAAATAGAATTTCCGGAGGATGAGGCCCAGAAATCAGGATTTTAAAAAGATTCCCAGGTGATTCTAATGTGCAGCCAAGGCTGAGAACCACTGTCAAAGAAGTGTTATATCATTAGTAAGTATGCAGCTATTTCTACTTTCACTAAAGATTTTTGTTTTTTAGCTATTAATAGATATTGAATTCTATTAAATATGTTTCAATACCTGCTGATATGAAGATTCCCCCCCCCCTAAAGTTTAATAATGCTTCCCATATTCAAATAGACTACCTAATGTTGAACTATCCTTGCTTTGCTTAGATACATCATGTGACTGCAGAGTATTTTTGGTGCTTTTATCTGAGTTTTATTGGCCTAAGAAAAAAATCTTAGTTTCCTTCTCTATGTGCTCTGGAAAGTTTATACTAAATTGGAATTAAAAAGAAAAATCTTCTGCAAGATTTGAAAGAATTCCACCTACGAAACTTTCAGAGGCATCCTTCCTCAACTTTCTTAATTTCTCTCATTGTAATTAACCTGTGTATATACTTTTTTTTTCTATCTTTCTGGGCTTTATTTAGGCTATTTATTATTTTTTTAAATAACTATCCAGGATTTTGAAAATTTTTTGCAGAGATGAACAAAGAGCCTTTTTATAATTTTTAATTTTCTATCCACTGTCATTCCCCAATCTGACTGCTAACTCTGTCTATAGAAGCTTTCTCCCATTGTTTTTTTTTTTTCCCTTCAAAGAACTAACTCTTGGACTTAACAGTTACAGTTTTTATTTTTTCCAATTTTTATTTTCCAATTATTATTTTCTGCCTATATCCTTACAAATTATAATAATTTCTGAACCATTTTATAGTTTTTTCCCCTCACTTCTTCAGTTGCTTATCTGATTTACTTTCACTTATTCCATAACTATTGAAGGCAGTTAATTTTCCTTTTAGCAAAACTTTATACATTATTTCATTTTTACTTTTAAATATACTATAATGATTGTTTTGAATGAAACTGGACAATTTTTAATGTATTATGAGCACTTGAAAATAAATTGTGGTACGATTTTGACATAATTATTTTTTTCTTATTAACAGCTTTTATGATCTGACTTTTTCATACCTATGTGCCAAGTATCAAGAGATAGGAGTCTCTTTTCTTATACCTGTTGCTTTCTTTGTACTTTCTCCATTTTCGTTTTGATGATTTGTTACTTGATACAGTAAGACTTGCAGCAATTACATTTTCATTGTGGATTATACTCCATATGATTAAGTGCTCCTCTGTCTTCATTTAATGCTTTAGTCATATTTTCTATTCACATGGTATGTTCAACTCATTGTACTTTGTCTTTTTAAAATTATGTTGGTTTTAGTTGTTTTTTAAAAATATATTTTTATTGATTTCAGAGAGGAAGGGGGGAGAGAAAGAGAAAGAGAAAAAGAGAGAGAGAGAGAGAGAGAGAGAGAGAGAGAGAGAGAGACATCAATGATGAGAATCACTGATTAGCTGCCTTTTGTACGCCCCCCCTACTGGGGATTGAGCCCGCAACCTGGGCATGTGCCCTTGACCATAATCGAACCCAAGACCCCCCAGACCGCAGGCCGATGCTCTATGCACTGAGCCAAACCAGCTAGGGCTTGCTCTACTACTTTTGACTGAGATTCTTATAAACTGAATTTATCAACCGAAAGATGAGATGCTTTTAATTTGTGATTTGAGTATTTTCCATAAAACCACTAACAACACATAGAAGAATAAAAACATTTAAATCTGTTACCTGCACAAAATATCCTTAGCTGCTGGACTGGTGATATAAGTTGCAAATGAGTGGTAAACAGATCAACAAATGCTCCAGGATAAATAATGAAGAGAAAAATCCCAAAGCCATTAAATCGAACTTGTTCCCTAAGAAATCACATAGAGAAAGAAATTTAGCACTAGTATTGCACTTTTCAAATTAATAATGTACGTAATTTTAGTACTTCCCACTGTAGTGCAAATTCTTACTTGGAAAAACAAGTCTCTCTGGACAGTCAAAAAGTTATCCTACATATATGATTATCTAGCTATCATTTATCTCACAATTTTACAATAACGTACATATTTGGTCATCTATGAAACTGCATTTTATAAAATGAAATTCTGAAATAGGCTTTTAACTTGAAAATTCTTAGAAACAAATATGCTGAACAAACAGCTTGAAATTAGTCATATATCTACACTAATAAAAGAGAAAAATGGTAATTGGCGTACGACGCTACCGTTTTCATTGGCTAATCAGGGCTATATGCAAGTTAACTGCCATCTAAGATTGGCGGTTAACTGCCAACTAAGATTGGCGGTTAACTGCCAACTAAGATTGGCGGTTAACTGCCAACTAAGATTGGCGGTTAACTGCCAACTAAGATTGGCGGTTAACTGCCAACTAAGATTGGCGGTTAACTGCCAACTAAGATTGGCGGTTAACTGCCAACTAAGATTGGCGGTTAACTGCCAACTAAGATTGACGGTTAACTGCCAACTAAGATTGACGGTTAACTGCCAACAAGATGGCGGCTAATTTGCATATGTAGGCACAATGCAGGGAGGCGAAAGGGAAAGCAGGAAGAAGCCCCCTGCCACTGACAGTGATCGGAAACCCAGGGGGGAGCTAAGAGCTGGGGGGGGCCGCCTTTGCCCTGCCCCCCAGCCATGATCGGAGAATCAGGCGCCTTTGCCGCCCTGGCCAGTGATAGCAGGAAGTAGGGGTGGAGCCAGCGATGGGAGCTGGGCACGGTCGAAGCTGGCAGTCCCGGGAGCTAGGGGTCCCTTGCCTGGGCCTAAAGCGGAGCCCACGATCGCGGGGCCGCTGCAGCTGCGGGTCCCGCTGCCCGGGCCGGACGCCTAGACCAGAGGCGTTAGGCCTGGGCAGGGGCGGAGCCTGCAACCGCGGGGAGCTGGGGGTGCCCTGCCCAGGCCTGACACTTCTGCCGGAGGCCTCAGGCCTGGTCAAGGGGCCGATCTGGTGATTGGTGATCGGAGGGTGATGAGGGTCAACTCCTCTGGCCGAGGCATCAGGCCTGGGCGGGGGGCTGGGGGTCCCCTGTCCAGGCATGATGCCTGGGCCAGAGGCATCAGGCCTGGGCGGGGGGCGGAGCCGGGGATTGGGGGGACATGATGGTCCCCTTGCCCAGGCCTGAAGCCTGGGTCAGAGGCGTCAGGCTTGGGGGGGGGGGGTGGAGCAAGCGATCAGAGGGAGATGGGGGTCCCCTGCCCAGGCATGATTCCTGGGCCAGAGGCCTCAGGCCTGGGTGGGGGCCAGAGCCAGTGATCGGGGGGAGATGGGGGTCCCCTGTCCAAGCCTGACACCTCTGGCGGAGGCGTCAGGCCTGGGCAAGGGGCCGATCAGGCGATTGGAGGGTGATGGGGGTCTACGCCTCTGGCCGAGGCATCAGGCCTGGGTGAGGGCGGAGCCAGTGATGGGGGGGTAGTGGGGGGTCCCCTGCCCAGGCCTGACGCCTGGGCCAGAGGCATCAGGCCTGGGCGGGGGGCGGAACCAGTGATGGGGGGAAATGAGGGTCCCCTGCCCAGGCCTGACACCTCTGTCAGAGGCGTCAGGCCTGGGCAAGGGGCCGATCAGGCGATCGGAGGGTGATGGGGGTCAATGCCTGAGGGCTCCCAGTATGTGAGAGGGGGCAGGCTGGGCTGAGGGACACTCTCCCCCCCCCCCCCAAACCCAGTGCACGAATTTCGTGCACCGGGCCCCTAGTGTGTATGTGTGTGTGTGTGTATATATATATATATATATATATATATATATATATATATATAAAGAAAAGTTTAATATTTCTATGAGAAACTAAATAAAAAACATTTTTATGGTTTAGTCTGAATTATTTTCCGAGGACACAGTAGAAAATATAATTCAATTACATTATCTAAATATTTATATTTGTCTTAGCTTTTATATTACTAGTATTTTTTTTTGTTAATCCTCACTCGAGGATATTTTTCCATTGATTTTTAGAAAGAGTAGAAGGGAGGTGGAGAGACAGAGAGAAACAAACATCTATGTCAGAGAGAGACACATTGATTGGTTGCCTCCCACACATGCCCCGACCAAGACTGAGGAATGAGCCTACAACCAAGGTACGTGCCTGCCCTCGACCAGAATTGAACTCAGGATCCTTCAGTACGCGGGCTGACACTATCCATTGAGCCAAACTTGCTAGGGCTGTCTGTGCTATTATAAATGAACGTAGAGGTTTATTCACATTAAACGAGGTACTGTTAAAAATGCATTATGCTCAGACTTTCCTTAGGAGAACTATATATCAATTCATTCTCTAAAAATGGAATTATACTTAACAGCCTCCTAAGACCAAATAGTTACTCTGAAAAAAGCACTATATAAATACACTGTGCTATCACTTAGTACTAAATACATCAGAGGACTGTATAATTCACTTTATATCAGCAGTTGTGATTTTATAAAAAAAAAATTAACCAGCCCTGACCAGTTTGGAACAGTGGCTAGAGCGTTGGCCTGCGGACTGAAGGGTCCCAGGTTCGATTCCGGTCAAGGGCATGTACCTTGGTTGCGGGCACATCCCCAGTGGGGAGTGTGAAGGAGGCAGCTGATCGATGTTTCTCTCTCATCGATGTTTCCAACTCTCTATCCCTCTCCCTTCCTCTCTGTAAAAAATCAATAAAATATATTTTTAAAAAAATTAACCACATTATACTGTGAATTATTAAACTGTTAATAACAATTGTTTTATATGTAAAACCCTTAGGGCTGCAAGTCTAAAAATGTGGAAGCAAAGGTGAAAGAGATTTTAAAAAAGGGCAGCCACCCACTTAAACCACTACATAGCACGTCTGTGTAGCAGTATGTGATCTGTCAAGATGAGGGTTTATTGCCAATCTATAGACTCTTTTTCATAAGCAAGTGGAAAGTAATAAGTGATTAAATCTTCTCATCTAACACCTTTAA